GGCCCCGCCGGCCTCTCCCTGTCCTGATAAAGACATTTATAGTTTTAACCATCAAATAAAGTGCTCGACTCCGCCAAGCCTGACCCCCAGCTCAGCCACTCCGCAGCTTCATTTAGCAGGTCAGTGGTGAAGAAAAAAAAAAGGAAAGAGAAAAAAATTCATTAATTTTTATTAACAGGGAGAGCCATTTGTTCCCTGTGACAATATTTGACTTGTCGAAATGATTTTCACCTCTGCCATAAGGTGGGCGCTCTCCACATACATCACCCGATTACGCGGCGCGCGCGGGCCGCAGTCATTAGGCAGTGAATTAACGACGGTCCCCACCACTATTAATCACCCTGACAAAGGCGTTAGCGCGCTGCTGACCCGAGCGCGGCTGGCCGGGACCCGCCACCCGAGATCCCGCCTTGGCCCGCGGTTTTCTTCCTCAGTAGCTGCTTTACTCTGTCACCCACCTTGTCCGGGCGGCGGCCAGCACCAGTGTGCCTGCCAGGAGGTCGGCACCAGTGACCCTGCGTGTTCCCCGAGACAGCCCAGCATCGAGGCCCACTGTTACCCAATTTACAGATCCGGAAACTGAGGCGCTGGGAAGCCAGACCTGCCGCAGGGGTGGCTTCGGGACTGAAAGCCAGGTCTGATGAGCTGTGGCCTCTGGTCTGGCTCTGAGCCCGGAGCACGGGTCCCCCCGACTCAGATGGGCGGGTGAAACGTGCAGACCTCAGACGCCTGACTTTCATGAAGCTGACTTGCTCCTGAGGTCCCAAACTTGAGTTTTCTTGGTAAGAATGAGCAGGAAAGTCTCTCCGTGCTGCGCCAAGTGCCCCCACTCAGATCAGGACCAGGCTGGGAGAGGACTGGGTCCGAAGGGAGGGGTCCGAACGGCAGGGTTGTGAGACCCCGCGGCAGGGACATCACAGACGGGTCCTGGGGGTTTCCGTCTTACGCGGACAGCTCAGCTCTGTGACCGCAGACCCACCGGCAGCAGTTGTGAGCTCCCCCAAAATGGTCCCATTCCAGGTCCTTGAACCCGAGGGGTTGGCCACCGGGAGGGGCATGGGCAGAGGGCGAGGGCCGCTTCCCAGGCTCGGCGTTGGCTGGACGACGCACTTGCAGAGATGACAGGCCCACCTGTCAGAGTCCGAGTGGGACCAGGGACACGACCCCTGCAGGGCACTTGTCCCGGGCAGGGCGGTGGCAGGTGGCCCAGGAAACACCAGCCCCCACCGGTCCCCGACACCACTTTAACCATTTTGGCACGTTAATCCAATTAATCATCTCTACATTTTAAACCAATTTCTTCCTATTAACCCAGCCGTCAGAGCTGTATTTCAGTGGGGTCTCAACCAGAGTTTGGAAGCACACGGTGGGGGCCGGGGGCCGGGGGCGGGGGAGGGGATCGCTCCCCACCCATTTGTCTTCTTTCTCTGGACTTCTCATTTTTCATGCTTCAGCAAATTTCCTAATTTTCCTCATTAGCGACTAATTCACACATCTCAACAGTCCTTCCACCTGTTCCTTTCACGGTGGCGCTTGCGAGCTGTGGCGTGGCCCCTTGCTCACTTACGTGACGCCCGCGCTGGTGCCCGGCAGACGCGGGGTGAGGGCACAGAAGGCTGGCACAGGTGGCACCTTCCGTGACTCCAGCAGCTCACCCGGCCGCCCGCCCCTAGCACCAGCTTGACCCCCTTGGCGACGAGGACCTGCACCCTCTCCTCCTGCCTCCAGGCCCCCAGCAGGACCCCCAGTTCCTGGCGGTGCATGGGGTTTCCACAACACGAGTCCCTTCTCTTTTAAGGAGAAGCCAAAGGCCACCAGTGACGCTCTCAGGGGCTGTATCCTCGCAAAGGCCCCGTTTAACGAGAGCCCGGCCTGGATGGCAGCCAGGCACCTGGCAGCACATTTGCGCCGGGTCCACCGTGGGCCTGAGGACTCACTCCTTCTGAGAATTATCCAGAGGCACTCTCGGAAAGCTGCAGAGTACCCACCACAGCAACACCTGGCCCGTGGCACCTGGAGTGAGCCTAGGGAGCCTGTGAATAACCCCGTGACGTGGGCCACCAGCCACATCGACAGCGCGACAGCCTGGCTTCTCAGCCGTCCTTGGGAGCTGTTTCTCGTTACTTGCTTGCATCAATTTGATTTTCTCGGCTAAGTGGAAGGTTGTGGGAAAAGCTGGGTTTGGAAATCCATGATTTCCTGGCAGTTAATGAATTTCAGCCAAACGGAAAGCAAGGTGAGGCTCCACTGCAGCCACAGAGTCAGACACAGGAAGGACCAGGGGCAAAGAGGGGGCCCCATCCTGCCATTCCAGCCCCCCTCGGAAGCCCTCAGAAGACCCTCTCCTTGGCATGTCTCAGCTTGCATCTAACAGAGTGTGCAACACACCTGTGGTGCAGCCACAGGGAAGGGAAGCTGGGTCCATATTTGTGAGTCCAGGTGAGTCCCTTCCCTGAGTCCAGGGGAGCCGCATCCCCGAATCCAGGGGAGTCCTATGCCTGAGTCCAGGGGAGTCTTGGTCCCTGAGTCCAGGGGATCCCCGTGCCTGAGTCCAGGTGATCTCAACCTGGTTCAGGTAAACCCTTATCCCTGAGACCAGGTGAGACCTATCTCCAAGTCCAGGAGAGTCTTTGTCCCAGAGTCCAGGAGACTCTTGGTCCCTGAGCCCAGGGGAGTCTTGGTCCCTGAGTCCAGGGAAACCCAGAGAAGCCCACTGCTCAGCCCAGAGGAGCTGCCGTCTCTGGGCCCCGGGGAGGGGGGGTGTCACACACGGTGCCTGCTGTGGCACAAGTCCTTTCCGGAAGGGACTGAGCGGAGCAGGGACCCTGGGGCTTCTGCCATGGATGCTAGCAGGTCTCAAGCTATGTCCAAGCGTGTCCTCATGTGCTGGGCCGCCTGGCAGAGGCACAGACCCGAGGGCTGGTGGGGGGGCCTCTGGAAGGCAGAAGCCCCGCCTGCACAGCCGGGGAATAGGCCCCCAGTACCAGGCACGTCCCACAGCCCATTTCCCAGGGCCTCCCCCCATCACAGCCAGGCCTGCGCCGGGCGCCACCGACCCTGGGCCACAACCTCATTTCTCCTGCAGGTCACCTCGCTCACGCAAGCCCCGTCCAGGCCACCCGCTGCCACCAGCACTTAGCTAGCAATTCCTCACGCTTCAAATCCGTCCTTTGCAGACACACTTCACCGACTACACAGCAGAAAAGTTTTGTCCGCTCAGCAGATTGCTCGTGGGATTACGCGTCGGCCAGAGGCGGGCCGCGCGCAGGTCTCCAATTTGAAGAGGGAAGCCTCTTCACGACACAGCGGCTCCGGCTCCGAGGCCCTAACCCGCGAGGCCCCGATGGCCCAAGTGCGTGAAAACCATTGCAGGAGGCTGTCAGCCTCCTCCCAGGTGACGATACTTGTGTTTCTAAAAATTAGAAACCAGCCAGCGAAGTTCCTCCATTTAAAGAACCCTGTCTTCTCGAATTGCCAGTCACGCCGTCTGCCAACCCCAGGACAACCTAAAATTATTCCGAATCACTTTTCAAACCTTAGAAAACCACAAAGCAGAACGACCTCCTGCGTTTATCACACACCACACTTAAGCCGTGGGCCGCCCGTCTGCATGGCCGAGAACTCGGGGAGTCTGTAGAGGGCGTGGGTGGTGGAGTCTGGAGGGCGAGTGCCACCACCACCACAGACATTCATGTCGCACGGAGTGTCAGAGGGGACGGCGAGGAGTGGGCAGAGAGCGGGGAGGTTCCCGGGTGCCCACAGCTCCCTTGTGTGGTAGAGCAGAGGCCAGGGTGAGCAGACCCCTCCCCGGGGGCCCCGGGGAGCACGGCACCCGGGGTGGGGGGACAGCTGGATGAATATTTGTGGTGGTGGGTTGAACTGAGTCCCCCAGACTCACATGCTGGGGTCCTAACTCCCAGCATCAGAAACAGGACCTTGCTTGGACGTAGAATCATTGCAGACGTAACTGGGTAAGTTAAGATGAGGACTTTGGGTGGCCCTAATGCCCCAGGACTGGTGTCCTTATAAAAGGGGAGATTTGGACCCGCAACCAGGGAGATGCCATGTGCTGGCAAAGCAGAGGTCGGCTGATGTGTCCACAAGCCAGGGCACCCCGAGGGTCACCAGCACGCAGAGCACCGGGGCCCCGGGGAGAGGCCGGGGCGGACCCCCCGTGGGCTCAGGAGGAACCAGCCCTGCAGCTTCTGGATCTTGGACTTCTGCCTCCGGATGGGGGAGGGGGGCCCTGCCGTCCGAGCCCTGGTCTGGGGCACTACGTGGAAACTAACACAGCCACCAGTCTCACTGACAGACTTTGCCTCACAGCTTCTAACTGAGCACCTGCTTCGCCCAGTGGTCAGGAGACTCGTTCAGGCCCTCAGGATGGACAAGGGGCTTGGGCACTCAGGGTTATGCTGAGTGAGAAGGGCTAATGTTTCTTAAAAACCCCCTCCGAATCACGGGGCTGGGGTCTTCCAGGAGCACCCACTTCCTAAAGCATTCGAGGAGCTGTGCTTACAGAGCCTGAAGCCCCCTGCGTCTTGGAAAGGTGCTGCCCTGACCCTCGATCCTTAGTCTCCCGCTGCTGGGAGTCCCAGAACATAACACGAGGACCATCTAGTTTCTGCCTCGTCTCTGACTCTGAAGGTCGAGGGACAGCAGAGCACAGACCCTGCCGGATGCTCCAACACACTCCTCTTTGTCACGCGCCCAGGACCGTCCACCCGCTGCCGTCAGGTCACTCCCTCCTGGGCCGCTGCGGCTGTCAGTCCTAAATTACTCCCTCCCCAGGGGCAGGGTGATTCCCATCTGAGCAGGTCCAAGCAGGCTGCTCACAAAGCCCAGGGAAACCAGAGATGAGTGAGTGTATAGAGCCGGCTCCCTGGTGCTCTGCTCTTGGCGGAGTTTAGATACACTGTTGCATCTTAAAAACACAAGCGAGCGCATCCACAAAGACGGAAGATAAGACAGAGGGGCCGGGGGTGGGGGTGGCGAACGGGGCTTCCTGTTTCAAGGGCGGAGTTTTTGTTGGAGGCGACGGAAAAGTTCGGACACAGCAGTGATGGCTCCACGTGCGGGAACTTAACACCGTGACCTGCACACTTCCCGACGGTTAAAATGACAGCTACACCCTGCTGTCTGTTCCACCACAGCTGAAAAGGACAAACAAGCCGGTTCTGGGGAGGCGCTTCCCCCAGCACCCCACCTCGTCTGGCGGGCTCTCCGTCTCCTTCAGAAGAAACTCTGCTTCTTCCCCAGGTCGCACTCCGGCTCCCCCTCCTCCAGAGCGAGGACACGTGAGTGGGGACAAATTGAGCACAGGGTGACCGCACCGGAAGGTACGGGATGCTGGGCACAGGCAGGGAAGGCTCACAGACCCAGGCGGCTCCCCTGAGCCCCTCCTGGAGGAGGGAGGCCCCTCCACCCGTCCCTGGAGAAGTCGGCCAGCCCGGAGCTCGGTGACAAAGTGCCTTCTGCGCGAGGGGACAAAGGGCACAGCCCAGGAAGTGATTTTAAACCTAATTGTTCCCACTTTTGTTCAGCGTCTTCGGGGTGCCTGGCAGGCCTGCTCACACTGCATCGGTGGAAACCACACCAGGACCCGCGTCTGCGATCTCAGGCTCCCGGGGGGCCGCCCTGGCCGTGAGAGGGGGCGTGCTCACGTTTTCCAAGACGCCGAGAAAACCCCCACGCAGATGTCTGCTCTCTCAAGAAGGCGGGCTCGCTGACAGCGCCCCCGGGCCGCGCGGGCTGGGGTTGGGAGCCATCGCTCCGACCGGCCTCTGGCAGCCGGGCGGGCAGGGGACACTTAATTGTGGGCCCGCTTGCTGGCAGGAAGCCCTGCCTCCTCCAGCCGGCAGCCAGCATGATAATGAGACAGTTTCTATGGAAATGAGCTTATAACTATTCATTTTCTCCCCATTCCCGACCCATCCACAAAGAGGTTTTCCAAAATGACCCCCATTTTCCTACCCCCAGCGTGTCCTCACGCCATCGCCGGCCGGCTAATCAGCCTGAGGAGAAAGGAGAGGAAGCGCTGTCCTTTGACGAGATGTGGGAAACCCCTCGGTCTGCACTCGGTGTGCCTGTGACCAGCACACAAAGAGCCCCGCCGGCCCCGCAGCCAAGTTTCCAACGAACGTCTCCCTGAACACTTTCAGCGGTCGTGTGTGTCTTCTGGTGAGGGCTGGAGCGCTCCTTCGCCATCTTTCGAGAAGCTCTGAAAGCATCGTGTTCTCTCGGGACGTTCCTGGCTGGCCTCCCTCCTGCGTGTCCCCCTCACCTGGGGTGGGGGTCAGGGCACCGTCCAGCCCCCCCCCCCAGGCTGTCGGGACGGGAGGAGGGGCCAGTTTCACCACATCTTCTCTCCCTTTGAGGGTTTTGGAAAGTAGAGGGACCACATCGTCACAGGGAGAGGGAAAGTGAAAGAGGGAAGCCACAGACCCACAGGGGCTCAAACCTGGCCTCTTCCTGGCCGTGTGGCCCCCGGGCGGGCCCTGACCTCTCTGGGCTCCACGCCGCCGTCCGGAAGTGGAGGTGGGCAAGCTGAATTGGGTGATTCCAGCCAAGCTCTCAGCATGGCGCCTGCAGAGAGGCCTGTCGGGTCATCGGTAATTATCAAGGTCTTGTCATCACAGGGCCCGGCCTGAGGACCCTGACTGGGAGGGTGCCCCGACCTAGGCTCTGTCCCGAGGCCTCCCCTGGCCGTGGGCACAAGGGAGGGGGACACTGTTTGCTCTGTGGGCCCCGGGGACTCTCTGCCTCCTTCCCTCAAGTCCTCCTTGCTCCAGGTGGGGCGCGGGAGGAGTTCCTTGAGAGTCTCTGTCCCTTCGTGTCCTCCAAGTGGCCATGCGGCTGTGCATGCAGTAGGCGCTGGCAGATGTGCGGGGGATTCACTAGGGAGGGAGGTGTTTGCGACCTGACACCTCAGGCTGAGCTGTCAGCACTTGATTTTGAGACCGGCTGAGCACTGGGGACCCAGGACGCCGGGTGGGGGGTCTGGAGTCCCACACTGGCCCCTCGCCTCCTCCCCAGCCTTCCAGAAGGCCTGAGCGCGGGTCCAGTCTCACCCGGGGTGGACCCCAGCAGGCCCCCAGCTCCGCATGCTAAGGAGGGACCCTCGGCTGCAGGAGCCGGGAACTGCTGGCCGCTGTGGCCAGGCCCTCCCCGAACACACGTCAGGGGTGTGAAGGCTCCAGCCTCGGGGTTGGGTGGGGGTCTCAGCAGATAAAAGTACCGGACACCAGTCAGTCTGGAATTTCAGATAAACAACAGGCAAACTTCCAGCGGAAGTGAGTCCTGTGCCACGTGGGCTGGGTGCACGTGGGGCGGGGTCCCAACTCCTGCGACCGGGGGCTAACTTTCTGCGATTTTTAAAGAAAAGTCTTTAACGAACCCGTACACCCAGATCCCGTGCCCACCCGAAAGACAGGCGCACCCCTCGGATCAGATTGTCAAGGTGGCTTCCCTGGGGAGCAGCGGGACGCCTTCTCGGCTTTTAATGAAAATACCTGTTTTATAATTTAACTGACAGCAAAAAAATGGAAAATACCAGTGGCTTAGGTATGCGCTTAAAAAAGGCTTTGAAAATTGAAGTGCCTCTCATTTAAATAATCATAGTACATTTTCAACAAATAAGTTTGAAGATCCAAATAGGGCCTGGTTCCCTCTTTGGAAGGTAGCCTCCTTGAGGACTGGACCCGAGTTTTATTTTGCCTTGTGTTTCGCCTTTGCTGCAGTCACGGTGCCTCTGGGTGATGGAGAATGTAGACCAGTGCACAGAGAGGCGGCCCCTCTCCCCGTCCTGAGACCCTGGCTGGTGGTGGTTGTCGCCAAGTCACAGCGGGCAGGTTTCGCTGCCAGAGACTTGGGGAGTTATGACCTCAGGTCACATGCTATGTGTATGAAGTAATTTGCACATGTGTGTCGGTGTGCATATACGCATACACAGCCACACACACAAATTACATAATTTATACATCGTGCAATTATACACATACATTTATATATAAAAGATGAGCACACACGACTGAAAACACATGCCTAGCGTTATCTCTAAACTATGGGACGTGAGATTCTCATTTTAAAAATGTCTCTATTTTCTGCGCTGAGCATGCATCATCTTTATGATTTATAATTTTACACATTTTATAATTTTTGTAAGTGTATCATTCCGTAACGTGTTACAGTTTCTGTTAAACGTGTAGGTGGGAGAATGGCGTTCTCCGCACTGAGGCTGGTGGGCCCACCTCAGCAGGGGGCCGGGCAGGAGCGGGCGCTGGGCCCCTGGCGGCCCTGGGGGTGTCCTGCAGTGTCACCAGCGGGGAGACTGCCCACCAGGTGTCTCCCGGGGCCACCTTGGCTCGCAGACAAGTCAGAGCCTCCCCACAGCCGCCCTTACACAGCGACTGCTGGGCGCCCCATCCGGGGCGGTCCGCCCCGGGAAATCCAGGAGGCGTCAGTTCAGGCCGCACTCGTGTGTCCACGGAAGAGGCCTGAGTCCCAGAGTTGCCTGTAACCTGTGAGCCCTGACTTCCCTGCCATCTCTGACTCTCTCTGTCAGCCAGCATCTCTCTTCTGCGCAGGCGGACCTGGTCCCGCCAGACGACTAGACCCAGCTGAGTCTGGTGTCGGTGTGCCTCCGAGTCCCCTCCCCATGCTGCCCTATTTCCAGGGGGTCACAGCAGGGTATGGGGCCTGGGGGTAGCGCTGCCAGATAAGACTGTAAACATAATACATAAACATAGTGGAGACGATAAAAAGCACACAGTACGGGGTGCACTTCTACTGAAGGACTGCGTGCTGCTTATCTGGAATTCAGATTGAACTGGCAACCCAGCTTCTCCCCCTGCTGCTCCCAGCCCCGCTCCCCGGGGGTCTGAGGGTTTGCTCGGGCTCAGCCATCACTGAGGGATCTCCCTTCGTACTTCCTGCTGTGAGAGCCCCTGTCCTGGGACCTCAGCCTGGGAGGCTGGATGGCCGCGGCCGGCTCTGGCGAGCCCTTGCCTCTCAGGTCCCTAGGCTGCTCCTCCTGCCCAACCCCAGTCACTGCCCAGAGACTCGGGGGCCTAGGGCGCAACACCACGTGCAGACTGCACGGCGTCGGGCCTCCAGGTCCCCCTCCGACACTCTGGGGACCACTGGGCAGCTGGAGACTGTCCCGGAGCTGACACGCACCCCGGGGCTCCCGGAGGCCACGTGGATGGTGCAGGGACCCCATCCATCCATGATCCGCTGGGACAGTCTGGGGCTCTGATGGAGGCTCTTGTCCCGGGTGCCCTGGGGCTGGGAGGAGCTGGGGTGGTGGGCCCCACCGACCACAGGAGCGCAGGGCTCGGCGCGGGTCCAGCCCTGCCTGGTGTTCAGAAACCCCCCCCCAAGACAGGTTTCTCTTCCCCCTCCTCTGTTCCCGTCACTTAAAGCCCATCCAAGCGCTGAGCTCAGCTCTCACCGTGAGGAGGGAGATGCTGACAGGCAAAAGCCTCCGACCACACGCATCTCTGTGCCTCTTTTGGGGGGGGTATTGATTTGAGTTTGGGCCAATTCTTCGTTTTAATCATGGCCATCGACCTCAACGGACCTGGCCACGAAAGTAGGAGCAATGGCCACTCTTTCTCTGCAGAGAGAGACTCGTGAGGGTTCGCCCCAGAAATCGTCTCGATCACCGCTCCTCCAGGAATCGTTGCCCCCAAAGTCACCCAAAATCAAATGGATCGCTATTAACACGCAAACGGCCTGCCGCCCGGAGCCCGCCGCCGGCCCGGGCCCGGCCCCGTCTGCTGCTGGGCAGCGGGGCCCTCGTTCCATCACGGCCCAAGTAGGCTATCTGAATAGATGGGGGAGGAAATCAAGCAGATATATTAGCGCTGCCGGATATTTGTCATCTCTCTGTCTCTCCTTCCCCAGGAATATCGGTGATGAATTTGCAAATGGTCCTGGATTATGACAGAGCGTTCTCTCTCTTCCTTATTTATCCCTCCTCCGAGCACCTCGATCAGAGGCCACAGTGACAAATGCATGAATAAAAGGCAGAGACAATATTTGAGCAATGAGTTGTAAATCTCCTTCTACACATTATTAATTTAAGGAAGTCCATTACACCAAGCAGCTCTGCAGAGAAAGACGAGGGTCAGGCAGGAATGGCTGCGCACCTGAGGGTCAGAGAAAGGGAAGGAGAAACTCAGCTCCACGCCTGAGCCGGGGTCGGGCTGGTCTCTCCCCAAGTCCCAGGAGCCCTCAGCCACCGCATGTTATTTACATAAAAGGCGAAACATTTGCTCCCCCAGCCAAGCACACTTTGCAAAGTGCCGCTTGCAATGGCCGCCTTCTTCAGGAGCTGGGAAGGCAAGGCCACAATGGCTAGGGATGCCGGGGGTCCAGGACACCCTGCTGCTTTCTGGAGGGAGGAAGGAGGGGGCCGGGGGAGGTGCTCAGGGCGGGAAGCGAGCGCCGGCAACAACGAGGCACAGGGCCGCACAGGGCAGTCCTGGCACAGCGACACCACCATACCTGCTAGCCGGACAAGGATGCCGCGAGCCCGCAGCCAGGGTCCTTCTGAGACAGCACTAATCAGAGTGGCAGGCACAGTGGCCACGGCCGAGCCCCGCAGCCTGGTTTTCGTCCCCTGTTTTACTCTCTTTTAAAACCTTCCAAGAAAGGAGCTGCAGGCCCCGGTCCCACCACCTGCCTCGACAGCCCGTTGAACTGTCGCCCAGAGACCCGGGAGCAGTCTCTCCCAGGGACCGTCCTGGGACATCTGCAGGGACGGCCACAGCCCTGCAGCTCGGGGTCCCTGGAGAAGAGCCGGGACGGTGGGAGGTCAGCGAGGCTGCCAGCCCGGCTCAGGCCAGGATGCCGGCTCCAGGGCTCCGGACCCCACATTCAGAGCTGTGAGGGGCCGTCGGGGCGCCGGGTGGGAAAGGAGCAGCGTTGACTGCGAGAGGTTGACGGCGTCGGTGCTGGGAGAACCTCCCTTCACCCTCACGAGTGCAAGACGCACTTTTGTTGTTTGTGGGTTTTTTAACAACAGATTTTGTGTTTCTTTTTCTTTTGCTAAGATTGATTTTCGAGCAGTTTTCGTAAGTGCTTCTGCTCGGCCCTGCCGGGCTGCCCTCCCCGACACTGGTCCCCGGACACAGGGGAGGGAGGGTGGCCTGGGGGTGTCGGCTGAACCTGCCCCCGTGCCCTCCTTGGTCTCCCCATGCGGGCTTAGGGGATGCCCTGGCAGTCAGCATGTGCCAGGCGGGAGGACTTGAGAACACTGGGGGCCCCGCTGGGACCCTGGGGGACATGGAAGCGGGGAGCTGGGAGAAAGCCCCCGTAGACCACCGGCACCTGGAGCCAGGGGGCCCCAGGAGGGCCGAGTCCTGGAGCTGGGCGGGGCCCGCTGCTGCTGGCTGAGCTGCAGCCCCCGGACCCTGTCCCACGTGTCCACATGACAGCTTCCTCCCCGAAGGGTCCAGCTGCTTCTGTAGAACGCACAGTCTGTCCCCTCCAGTAAACGCCCACCCAGTCAGGACAAGAACCCGCACCAGAAAGCGCCCGCCCTTTCAAGGGAGAGTGTGCCAGCCCACAGTGACGGCCCCCATCGGCCCACTTAGGGACATGGTGGTGGACAGCCACACAGGTTCTAATGACTCATCACACCAAAGTCCTGGCGGGTCCTGGTGACAGAGCACAGCAGCTCGTGGGAAACCAGCCGCCCAGTGGGACACAGTGGCTCCAACATCAGAAACCCACAGACAAATGGGCTCGCGGGTGGGGCGGTGGGACGGGAAGGGCTGGCGGGCCGGGAGACGGGCCGGGAAGGGGCCAAGAAGCCCCGAGGCGGGTTTTACTTTATTGTTTGTGCATCAGCCTGATTGCTTCGGAAGCTGAGACTTTCTTCACAGCGAAGCTCAGGAAAGAAGACCCTGGCAACACGTTAAAAGTTGCCCGCGTACGGATCTCCGCACAGATACGCACGTATTAATTTGAATTTTTTAAGACAAGTGTTGCATGTTATTAATATAATTGCCAGCTGCAGGAACGGTATATTCACAGAGCTTTCTCCATCCCTATGCGTTCTGCTCTTCTCAATGCTGACAGTTTAATATTCAGCTGGTGTTTACTTAGCATATGACTGTTAATCAGCGTAAATTAAATGTGTGCTTGAAACCCCCACTTAAAGCTCTGCTAATTATTTTTTGATCCAAACAGGACTGCCTCTTCTGGAGGGTGAGTCGGGCTCTCCGGGACCAAACATCAGCGAGAGAACCTGTTGCCAGCGCCGAGGACCAGCCTCCAGGAGACACGAGGCAGGTTCTCGCGTACGTTTCTCCGCGGTGAGCGACGGGTGGTTTCCATGTAAGCCCTGCCCGGTCCAGCCTGGCGGCCACCCTGTGCAAGGGAGCACAGCCTTTTGTGCCGGAGAGCTGGCTGCCCACGGGGTGATGGTTGTGCAGTCTGTTCCACTGAACTCAGGCCACGCTCCCAGCACAGACAGCGTAGCCTTGACACATGCATACACGTGTGCCCACGTGGATACACGTGTGCACGCACGGTGGATACATGCATGCACAAACATGGACACAGGCTGCACATACGTGGATACCTGCTCAGTACCACATACGTGGACACATGCATGCATATACTGATACACACACTCACGGCCCAGGACCACACCCTGCTTCTGCCTCCACTCCCAGCCCATGCTCCTTGCCCCGTCCCGGCCCTCAGGGGCCCCAGCCAACCCACAGCCTCTGCCCCACCCAGCGCCTGCCTCTCCTGTGGACTTAGAAGTGCACACGCTAGGCAGAGGGCTGCAGCAGGGAGGGGAGGTGGAAAAAGAAGGCGGGCCCGGCAGACCCAGCAGGGGAGCCCGGAGATGGGGCTCTCCTGAGAGACAGCTCCCCGTGCCGGTCCTCCAGCCCTAGGCTCAGCAGGGGACAGCAGGGACAGCGCAGTGGGGGAACAGAGTGGGGCCGGCTGAGCCTCTGGCAAAGCCCATCCGCCGGAGGACGGGGCTTCCCGCGATGCTCTCCTTCCTCCGGACGCTGGCCTTGGTGCTCGGGCAGAGTCCCTTCTGCCTGGGTGGTGCCTTTGCAGCTGCCTGTAGGTGGCCGGCCCGCGGGGTTAGGAGGGACAGCACCACAGCACTATTCTAGAGGCCACTGGCCCTTGCTCTCAGAGACCCCATGGGAAAGATGGACCATAAGTAAGTGTGCTCAGTACCACAGAAGGCAGCACAGAGGGCAAGTGCCCACTCTAGACAGAGAGGTCCATGAATCCATGTTCCAAGGCATGAATAGATGTCCCATAGCTCCTCTGGGCCTGTTTCTCAGATATGGGGATGGAATAGTGCCTGTTTAGAGGATTAACAAGGTAGAGCAGAGATGATGCCTGGCAAGTTAAGGCACTCAGTATATCTCAGGGGATGAATGAATGGATGGGTGGATGGGTTGATGGATGGATGGATGGGTGGGTGAAGGATGGATGGATGGATGGGCAGATGAGTGGATAGATGGGTGGTT